ATGTCTGGTGCATTTAAACATCTAACATTTTATTTGGCTGACACGGTTTATTATTTTTTTTTTGCACTCATACGCAATAAAGTCGCTAATAGATTTTCGACACTCGCTCATCGCAAATAAGATGATGTCGAACACTTTTGAAAAGGTGCAAGCGTTGCAAGAGTGTTGACAGTAGTGGTAAGACATTAGGGGTTCCCAATGAGCCAACTCCCCCCTCTTGAATGGAGTCCTGGAATCTCCAGGACTTTCCTCATGGCTGCGCGTGTTTACTATCACCCCGGCCCCCCAAGGCCGGCCGGTCCGTCCCGTCGGCACGCGTTGTCCAGATTCGCGTGGGGTTCCAGATCAATATTATCATGGCCCCCTTTTCTTTCATATATATATACGCTATACGCTGTTTCATGGGGCCGCCCTGACGTGGCAGTGAAACGCACGGCTATTGGTTCACCCTGTAGAAACAAACTTTAGTTTGATATGGCGCAGTGGATCCATGGTTTAAACATTATTTTTTTCTACGAAGAGATAGCCCTGCCCCGCGGTGAGTTAGGCCCGTGGCTGCCCTGCGAGCGGGCCCTGCTGGGTCGCTCCACAGGTCTACGATATACACGCTGTCTGTTCTGTTTACGCGCCGTTTCTCCCGTGGGGCAGCTGCTCGCGTACGGATGCTCGCGGTAAGTGCAGTTCCGTAAATGAGAGTTGCTCGTCTAGGCTTCGCCATGAACCTAATTACTGCCTTCTCACGGGGTTTCCCGTGTAAAAGTAAAGCGTCTTGATAACCACGATCAAGGGGCGGTCGACGCAATTCTTTTAATTTCACACAAGCGGCAGTGTACCACGCGTATCCTTTCGCCTACTCTAATTACCTCCGCTGCTACCCTTGGCCGCCCTCCTTCCAACTCCAACGTCTCTTTGTGTAATCCCATCCCGTCTCGCGTTCAGGCCCCATCCGTCTCTGCGAGCGCAACGTCCCCCCGACGTCAGCCAAACGGCCCGGGCCCGGGGCGTGGGCCTTGCGCGCCCGGGGGCTGGGGCTCCCCACTACCAGTCCGCCCCTCTCAGAAGCGAGCAGGTTGCGGCGCCGCCTGAGAGGGGGGGGGGGGACGGGGGAGCTTGGCGTCGGCCCGACCCCCCCACAACCCACTCGGCATAATAAATCCCGATGCCGATACGAAAATGTAATAGAGGAGTAGAGCATGTGGGAGCAGCGCGTTGGAACACACCGCGGGGGTTGAACAACGGAGGTCGAGCACGTGCAGGGTTGAACAGGGCTGTGAGATACGGGGCTGGAACACGGACGTCGCACTCGGAAGTGCAACAAGGAAGTGCACCCAAGTGATTTTATTCCAGAAAATGCACCATTCACTACCCGTGTTTTTAGTGAGTTTTTTTTTAGATGGCGGGGGGTAGGGGTGGGTAGGGGTGTGTTAAACGCAAAGGTGTACGTATAACAGAAAGGGCTGAAAAAAAATGACCGAGCTTGGCTGTGTAGGGAGGCTTGCTGCGTGTCGGGGCCAACGGGGCCGAGGAGATTCACTGCCTCGCCCCGCCTCGCCGCGCCAACGGCGGAACAATCTTTCGGCGTACCGATATGTCGGACACGGCTGCTGGACGCGACGTGACGAGACTGCCGGCCTCCCTTAGGAGTTCTGGAGCGTCCGGTCCGGGAGCCCAGAACAACTCTCGGCAGAAGCCGGCCCTGCCCCCCCCCCCCCTCAGTCCTAGCGCGGCAAAGCCTGCTGTGCTGTGAATATACGCGGAAGTGTTCCGGGATTGCATACGCAATATGGCCGCAGGGGCCATGGCCCCTCACGGATGTTAAAAGTAAGAAAACCGACAACAACTGCGTATTCACAGTTACACCCGCAGCACACAACCGCGTCGCAGCGTAAACAACCAAAGCAACGGTTTCGCGAGACATCGCCGAGCCTGTTTCGCCAGCCAGACGGGGTCTTAGCGTTCGTTCGCTCAGTTTTATGAACCATTTTCCAGGAGAAAACTTAGAGAGCCCCCAGAAAACGTTCTGTCACAATCACCGCCGTCACCCGGGCGTGGAAAGGCGAGAAGCTTTTTAATACCCGGCCGGGCAAAAGCATTTCCACGAGAGGGAATACAACCGAGTCCCGTCATGTTTCTACGTGCCCGTACCGTGTGCTGTGTATACTGCGCACGAGAAAATCTGCGCGCCAGGCCGTGCGCCGTGGGGAAAACCGTTAAATGAGAGGTTTAATGCGTTTATAACGCGTCCAGCGTCGCGCTTCATTACTTTAAAACCCTTTTATACTGTCGCAGCTTTTTTATTTCTCCCGATCACCCATTGCTGCTGCCTGAGCTGGCGCCGCCGCTGTGCGCGTGGGGAAAAATATAGTGCGGCGGGAAAAGGGCGCAGCAGCAGGGCGGGAAGGTAAATCTTTTGCAGGGCGGCTGCGGGGGCGGACCGGCACAGGCCGGCCGGCCGCCTCTCCGCCCGCCGCCAGCACAGAGGTGATGGAGAGGGCGTCGAAGAACAAGGCGCCCGGCGCGCAGAACGCCACCACC